CATATTGTTGAATAGCTGCAACAATTTGACATTTGGTAATTCATCTGCTTCTGATGGCATGAATTCTGCTTCAACTGGCAAGTTCTATGAAGAATCTAATGTATTAACGCAGCGATCTGAGGAATCAGCATCTGGTCTTGAAGGTATGTGCAACTTCAGCTTATCATATCTATCTACTCCCGTTTCGTGTTAGTGTTGTTTTGAATTCCCAACTTCAGATATCCACGAAGATGCTGCAACCTCTAAACTGAGAGCTTGTGAGAGGAAAAGTTCCACTGATGGAAAACTAGTCGGTCCATTTTCTGAAAGAGCGAAATCTGAGAGCTCTTACGCGTGGCCTGGAAGCTCCATTTCTAGAAATTCAGAAAGCTCTGCAGCTTCCCCAGCATCAAACCGTCCGATACTATCACCAAGCTCTTCAATTGGTTCTTTATCTTCAGAAAAGTCTACACTCAATCCAAATGCTAAGGTTTTTTTCCGCCGTTCTTAGATTGTAATCTAATTTCTCCTCCTTTATACTCCAAGTTCTTACGAATGAGCTTTAATCACTGATCAGGAATTTAAACTGAACCCCAACGCAAAGAGTTTCAAACCATCTCCTACAGCTACACAGCCTCAATCTCCAGTCGCAGACGGATCTTTCTATTACCCGCCTGCTCAACATTTTCCCGCAATACATGTTGGATACGGGGTAACTTTTCTTTTTTCTTAATCTACTCTATAAACAAACCGCGTCGTTTCAGCCGAGCTAAAAAGTCTCTGTTTATAATGTTTTCTGATTCACAAAAATTGAAATTATCAACAGATGGGAGCAACATTCTCTGGACAACAACAACAACCAATGATGTATAATAATACAACACAGCTTGGTCCAAATCAAACATATTATTCTCCAAATGGTCCACAGGTTTGTTTATTAGTACTTGCTTATAAAGCCATTACTAATCCTTCAAATGAAATACAAATCTTGAAAAGTGAATCTTGTAATCCAATGTAACAGTACCCACAACAGATGATGCCGAGGCCGGTTTTGTTCATGCCGCCTTCACCGTATCAACCGGTATGCTACTATTATCCTCTATAATTTTCACTTTTGTGTGTGTTTAAAACAAAATGATTCGAAAGTTTATGAAGATTTTGCTATTTCTTTTTGAATTTAATCGCAGGAGATGCCATATAAAGGAAGAGACTCTTATTAAGCTTTTGACCAAAAACCATGAATGGTACTAGCAACAAAGTCTCGAATAATCTTCTTTTCTGATTAAAATGGGGTTTGGTATTAATTTTCTTCTGTTTTTATAATTTATTTTCAGCAACCGAATCC